TAAAAACAGGATTAATAATATTAAGAATTTTCACCGGTATAATATCCAATTAAATTAATATCTACATGAAAATATTCGTAATAAAATATTGGTAGCCAATTAACTAAAATAAAAAAGCCCCAATCATTAAAAAATCGACCAATAAAAATTGCCCACACTTCACGACGAGAAAGTAATAATTTCCAAGGAATCTTTTGTAATCTATGTGACCTTGATGATTGACCCTTTGGTAATAACATATCATTTTCACTTTGAGGAACATCATGAACTTCGTCAGTATTTGCGACATATTCACTGGAATATGATTGATAATTGTCGAAATTATCATCAGAACAAACAATCGAATGATTAGTCTGTTCATTAATCGATTTGTCTCCTAAAATCCAATCTAATTCATCTTTGCTAATTCCTGAATAATCTCTTGGATTACTTTTACCATAAAAATACCAAAAAACAGACCAAATGGAACCAATAATTGCGAATGCCCAAAAAATACTTTCCCAACCAAACTGACTAGAGCCCAATAAATTTGAAATTGGCATGGCGATTACCATACCGATATAATTTGAAACAGATATTACAGAAACAGCCCTAGTTCGTTCCTGAGGCGGAAACCATTTTGCGATTAAAGAATGAATACATGGAAAACATACACCTTCACCAAGTCCTAAACAAATCCTGCACAATATAAGTATATATAAGTTTATTCTGACAGAAATTGGAGTAAGTAAAGTAAAGAGTGTCCAAGTTACGGCAGCTAGAAACAAAGTTCAAAAATAATCATATTTGAAAATTTATTGTTTAAATACAGTAGTTATAATTTAGATTACCACTTACCTATACCTAATACCCATCTGCCGCCGAATTTATCGGTAAGCGCACCACCTATAATTTGAGTCATCAAATATCCAAAATAAAATGATGACGATATAAACCCTTGGATTTTAGGACCCCAATTGAATTCTTTAGCCATATAAATTATGGCTATTGACATATTTGATCGATCTTTCATAAAAGCAATGAATAAATAAACAAATTTAACAGTTTTTTAAAAATAAAGCTTTAATATTGGGATATACCGGCATAACTGACGATAATAGCAGAAACGCAAAGAATGATAATTATAATTCTCTTTGGGATATATTTAGGCCACCAGTTGCTAAAATTTTTAAATGAATTAGAAGAAGATAAAACATACTACACTTTTAGAAATAATAGCCTACGTAAATATTGATGCCATAACGAATCTAGAAAAGCAATATTATTAAATGAATCTAAACGAGAATTTATTGATTTCAGTTAAAAGATTATCTGAGGATACAGTATGCAATATTATTTTCCTTTTGAATATTTTCATGTAGATATTAATTTAATTGGATATTATACCGGTGAAAATTCTTAATATTATTAATCCTGTTTTTA